AAACACACACTGAATGGTTTTATGGGACTTCTTCAGTAAATGTTCTGCTACAGACAGTATTGTCCATAATTGTAATCTTTTGATAGATGTAGTAGTTGTGTAGCATTTTGCTGTAGATTGCTCATTTTCAGAAGTAGTATAGTTTGCTTCTCTGAAGGGCTTTATTTCCTAAGCAAAGTAAGTATTTTTAATGGTCATTTATTTTCACCAGTAGTGAAAGTGAGATTTTTTTTTTTTCTTAATATTTGGACTACACAGACAAGTAACTCCTTACGAGTGGACTACAGGAATTTACTACCTAAGCAACTGAGGTGGTCTTTACTCATGACTGTTATTCTACTGAATTCTAAATAGTGATCTAAATTCTCTTTCACAGTTTGATATCAGTGTTAGCTATGTTCTTGCTTATTTCCTCAATGCATTTTGTCTGGCTGCAGGAAGAATGCATTTTAAAGACATCTCTTGTCTTACAAAGATTGTATTCATATAGGTTCTATGGTACACAAATGGCAATAGCCACATCAATTATATGGCTGAATTCCTAAATTACACACAAAAAAGGAACAACTAAGCAAAATATATTGCATTCATTAAAGCTCCCCTACTATATGATTCACTTCAATGGCTTTGCCAATTAAAGTAATTGTCATATGCATTCAAACAAAGCATTTGTAGAAAGAGGCCTTGTTAGAAAAATATTGAAAATGGCTGTTTTATAGATTTACATTATATATATATATGAAAAAAAATATTAACATGCAACACTTTAATAAGATGAAAGAAAATTTGAAGTGGAGAAAACATTTATCTTCATGACTATATAAGTTTATATAATTTTGGTTATGTTTATTTCTGATATTATACCTAGGCATGCTGTCAAACTTCTACTAAAACTGGCAAGTATGTTTTGGACTCTGAAAGGCAGTGATTTCATTGTTAGTGCGACTCCAGCCAATGAAAGCCAAATTATTTAGCGGGCTTCTTGCTTCCCAGCGTCTTTCTATTTCAAAAATAAGCAGGTTTAAAATCTCTATTGAAAACAGGACAGATTAGTTATTACTGTTTAGATGTATATGTATGCCTGGTGAAATAACATATAACTTTGTGCTGACATCTAAACATCATCTAGGTTGCAAGTAAAACGACAGTCATTTTAATCTTTTGCTTCATAAAAACAGGCCTGGTGCGTACCACTATTGCAACTGCCCACTTCCAAGAGCTGAAGAAGTATTTTAAATTTCACTTACTTATGGAATTTGCAGTTTGTTAAATCCCATATAATATTTATTTAGTCATAGTCTGATGTTTACACAGAAGGCTATTCTTGGAAATGCTAATTTTTTTCTGACTAGATGAAATGAATTACATTTATCAGGAATTCAAAGAATAAGGAATGTTTGGCAGACTGTTTACTCAGATATAAATAAAAGCACTACCCAGGACAACATGCCTAAATTAGGGTATGTTTGAAAGAGGTAAGAAGGAGAGAACAGTGTTTTTATTTAAGACCACATAGATCCATTCATGTGAAAAGGATACAGAAGAAGGAAGAATGGTGGAAATACTATGTAAGAAAATCATAGATCAGCATGTATTGTGCCACTAACTCTTTGGTGAGGGCTGAAATAACGGAATAGAGCATGTGAGAGCTGTGTAACTGTAAATCAATAGACATATCTGTGAGACAAGAAGGTGTTTACGTGTATGCACGTCCAAAGCATGCAGGGCTCAGTCGTATAAATTTCTTAAGCATGTAGAGCGCTTGGCTCCAATGGGATTGACTACTTGTGCTTGTTAAGTGAAAACACGAGCAAGGGGATGTCAGGCCTTCGGAATACTTCTGCCTCAAAAGTTGCAACAGTAGGCCGAGCCCCTAAATTGAGGTGGATTTTGTCTTGTCTTTTTGTATTCCTTGTTCCTAGGCTCCTCCTACCATTCCATAAATCAGTCTGATTGCAAACTGTTTATCTTAACGTTATATGTTAAAAACAGCTTTTCCTCTTTCCAGGAGTCTGTGTTCTGAGATTGTAAGTATAACTTCCTGCAGGCTCTGCCCTGTGAGGAGGCTCTGCCCTGTGAGGAGAGTCTGTCAACGAGAACGCTGAGTGCAGATCCAGTATGAGGCTTGGGCTGTCTTGCACCACCTGGAGACAAAGCAGTTGCCAAAAGCCAGTTCACACATTCAGTTACACTAGGCTAATAGCTAGTTTGCACTGCAGCAAAATGAGACAATCACAGCAACCTCTAACTCTGGTGTTTAATGACAGGGAACTTGTAAGTGCCAGAAACAGACAAGTGGAATTACGCACTAGTTTAAAAACTGGAAAAATGGTACATTATAATTGGGCTGTTAACAGTAAAATAGAGCAAGAAAATACAGGTTTGTTTGAACAGCACGTGCATGTTTCCAAGACAATTTAATGTGTTTTTTTGCAACATCAGTGTGGTTGGTGTGGCTTAAACACAGGCCTATGCCTGGAACATTGGTTATGGTGGTCATGCTGGAGGTGGTAGTAAACAGCACTGTGGTAGTAATGTGAGGAAGATCGGGAAACAGGTCAGGATACAGTTATCAAGATATATGTGCTCTTAGTGAGGCTTGCTTCTCTTTCCAAATTAAACCGGTATTGCAAGCTGTGATTTATCGGAGATTTAGAAAAACATGTGCTGAGGGAATCATGCTGTTTCTGCAATTAAGCTTTAATAAATAATAATAATAATGAGTCTTTAGTTTTGAGCCAAGAAAAATCTCTGGAACATAGGCTACTACTCTGTCATCAAGCAAAAGATGAAATAGAATCAAATTCCAGAAAAGATACATAAATTTTTCTGAAGTAGTAAAGAAAATAATACTGAATTAAGTAAAACACTAGACAATTCCTGGTCTTTGCAAATATTTCCATGTTTTTTTGGCAAACACAACTGAATTTTTCAAAAAAATCATTATTCAGAACTTCAAATGGACTAGCTCTTTTTGCAAAGCAGTCTTTATATGAAAATAACACAGGCATTTTAAAAATAGCTATAATTATAAGAGAAATTATATTTATTGCAGTAAAAGTCGTCTCCTTTGGGATGGACTTGGAGTAATGAATGGCTAGGTCTTCTAATTTATCTAAGTCGTACAGCATTAGAAAAGCAAATTCAACACATTTACACATGAAGATCTGTGGTCATTTTTTTAGAGGGCTGACATGATCATACATCAAAGGGACTTGACCTTTGGAGCTCAGTGCCTATCTATCAGTGTGAACCAACGCCTGCTTGCCACTCGCTTCCTTTGGAGACCATGGAAGGGAATGCAGCATGAAAAGTAAAAGGGAAACACAAATGGGGAATATAAAAACAATGAACAGATGAACAGATTTTTTTATTATTATTATTTAGAGGTATCCATTTTTTCCCCACATCCTTTGATTTTATACTTGATAAAGAGTAATGAGTCTGAGTGCAGAGCTGCAAACATCAATTCTCTTGCTCCTAAATGGAGGTCAGGAAACGAATACACTGTATGTGTTTGGTTTTAATTCCCTTCATCCCTATGATCATATAGATTTCCTCCCCATAAACTAGGCTGTTTACACCCTAGTTATCAGTTACTCCTACCATCGGCCACCAAGAAAAGAGTGCTTGGCTGTGAACCCTCCAATAATTGATACCAGACTTAGATTTCCTTCCTAAGTGTCTAGTTTTAAGACTTGACAGAAATTGTCATGGGATTTGATAGGAAATGGATCCCTTGTTTTGCAAAAGGTATAATTTCTAATTAATTTTCAGTATGTCCCAAATAGTCACCATTTTAGGTCTGCGCTAGTTAAAATATCTGGGAACTTTGTCTTAAACAGAGGCAGAATTGGCACCCAAAGCTCTGCTTAGCTATGCTGGCCACATTTACTGTTAATGACCGGCAGATATTAAAGACAATGGTCCATAAGTTGTTATCTGTATTTAACATGTCAAAACTTTGGTAAATGTACATGTTACTTCCTGAAGGTAAGATTTTAAGGTCATTCTTAACTGATGATACGTGTTTGTCAGGTGTACGCTACAGCCACAATTAGTTTTCATAAACCTGTAATGTAGCTAAGAACAATTCCATTGCTGGGTAAGAAAATAATACAAATTGTCTGGGAGAAGCAGAAAGCATGTTTTAATTCAAAATTAAATGATTAGTTTATAAATTAATCATTTAAGAACTGTAAAACATGGAGGTATAAATAAATCTACCAAACATAGAGCAGTGTTGAATGTTTCTGTAACGTGGTGCTGTGAAGCAGCTTTACTTGAACTTGGTACAAGGGCCGTGCTAGTGTAGCTGGAGTTGAAGAGAGCTGTCAGGCTTGATACCTGTTAGCGCCTAAGGCACCCAAAGGATTGGTGGTGGCTAAAGAAAATGTCAACTGTAAAGAGTTTATCCTCCTTCCCACATACTTGCTAGGAAGGAAGATGTCGGTGGGAGGAGATGTACCTTCTCTGATTGTGGGAGGAAGAGGTTCCTTCTTCTGGAAGGGGTGTTTTCATTTTTAAATTTTAACCCACAAAATCTAAGTGACCATGGCCAGCTGTTCACTTCCCTGTACTTTTGCAGTATGATGTGAGGCTTGCAAAGGGGTGGGAGAAGATTTTGCTGCTTTAATTCTACTTCAGGAATAAAGCAGCTCAAGTGTCTTGGAATTACGAATTAAAAATTGATGAATAAAATTTCCTTGCTCTGTCATGCCTGGGTCAAATTCCCTAGAACCTGGGACAAATTCTGCACTGCCTGTTTCCATATTTGCTGTATACACTGGACTACATATATACAGCACAAAAACATGCAGCATAAGACAAACTGTGCTACTTCTGTGCCATCTATCATTTCAGTTTAGTTCTGTATTCCTTAGAGACTCCTTTTAAAATAGGAAGACTCTTAGAAATTAATTTCTCATCTTCTGCTAAATTACAAAAGTCTGACGAACAAACAGTGTGGCATTTTATATTCTCTAGGCAGCACTACTTACCATCCCCAGAAATATCATTTCCTCTTCTCTCATTTTCTCTGTTTTCTTGCGCTGGACATATCCACGCCAAACCTGAATTGTAAACAAAACTCTAATGAGATAAATGGGCCTTGTTACAGCTTCCTTTACTGTGGCAGACACAGGAAAAAACAAATAGAGGAAGGAAAGGTACAATATACAATTGAAACTATTACTCTTTAACAGGTTGCCATCTGCTTTTTTTTTTTTTTTTAAAAACAAGTTCTGAGGTTTGTTATCCCCTCACACTGGTATATCTAGCTTCTAAACACAACATTGTCAGGGTTTCAAAAAGTGTTTAGACTCAAGATTTAGACTGAGGTCCTGTTCTCACCAGGCTGAATTGTCTGAATTATTCATGTGAAAGGACTTTTTCTGGAATTTAGCAGTGATCTCCCTCTCTCATCTTTTCAAGATATGGAACAACTTCTTTGGAGATCACAGGAAAGGCATGGATTCCCTGAGATGCACTGCATTCCAAGGGGATGCCAGAAAGAGTAACTGAGGTCATAAAAATCAGAATGGAAAAACATGCAGGTTATAAAGTCATCCTGCATTGCCAGTGCAGGACTGTTTCCGTTGATCTCGCATCTAGGATCCTGTCTCATTTTGTTAAGTGGTGTAAATGATGTATTTCACCTTGCTAGACACCCCAAAAGCTATCTAAAAGCAAGCTATGCTTGCCATCCTATGAGCTGTATTTCTGTCTATTGCTGTTCTCCTGAACAAAACATTGTCATTTGGTTCTGCCAGAACTGTTGTTAAATCAGAGATTTCACCTTTTGAATGCAAGTGGCAGCAGCATCTGGATTTGGACCCATCTGGACCTGAAGTTTAGTTTGTCTTTCTCTCTTCTCTTCAAGGTAAATTTGCTTCATGAATGCTGCTCGACAACGGCCTTGGCGAGCCCGTTCTGCAACCTGGATCATTTTAATGGCTTCTTCAAATGTCATGGCCTTGACACGTTTCTTCAACAGTACAGCCAAAAAGGAATGGACAAAGGAAAGTATTAGAGTTATGTGTTTCGTTAATTGCTTATGTCAGTTAGCAAATGAAACAACAAATGAACTTCTTGTGGAAACTTTCTAAGACAAAAAAAACCCTGTCACAGACAGCAGGAACTCCTGTCTCAGTGCTATCTTGCAATACCTTGGAAGTTTGGTATCTTGAGATGTGTTTTTCTGAGGACCCTTACGAGACAGTGAACCGGACATGTTGATGTGTGACAAGGAAAGCCTGACGCTATAGTGGGAAGCAAGAACGGTTCTATATGGCTTATGCTTTGTGCTGAAATTTATCCATTTGAGAAAAAAGACAAAAAGAACCACAGGGCTTTGTCCTATTAAGAGGAGAATTGCTTAGGCTATGGAATGTTTTCCTTCTACTTTTCTGAAGGGATGGGTTTCTGGATGTGCTGCTGGGACCTCAGCTCTCTTGCTGAACGGAAGGACAGGCTGTTCTGAGCTAGTCCAGGCCTGGTCAGCCCAGCCCAAATAGAAGAGGCTTGGGGAAAAACGTGTCAGAACAGTGCAGCTGGAGAAAGGGACTCCGCCTTCTCACTCCTGAGAACTCTTGTTAACCCGTCATGCTCCCCATGGAAAAGCTGAATTATTGTCCTTTGTTGACATTAATCCCCCTATTGGAGACAGTTCACATTTGATGCTTTTTATATATATATACACACACACACACTGTGTGGAGCTCACTATGCTACATTTTCAGCAGGGCTTTCTGTAACAGAATTACATAGAAGGACAAATGATCTGCAGAGCCGAGTCCTCTGATGAACTCCACTGTTTTTGATGTATGATAGACTGCTTGTAACAGCATTGCCATGGACACTGAAGACTACAGTGGTCTGTTACACAGCAGTTAGGATTTCCTGAGTGTACATGGCTTGCTACAATACATGCAGAAGTGCCAACAATCCTCTAGCAATGCCAGCAGTGATTGAACTGGAGGTGCGGCACAGGGCACCGGACTCATACTGTGTGGGATTGTTTAATTTGTGTTTACTGAATCCTGTGCCTCTCTTGTGGCATCTTGGCAAGGGAGACCTGGACCCTGCCAGTGTCGAAAGTGCAAGCCTGGTGCTCCCAGGTGAGCTGGCTGCACACCAGATAGTCTCATCTGTAATGGATGCCATGCTGAAAGGGGCGAGAGCAAAACTGTGGGAAACAAAAAGGTTTCAGATGTGCTGAAACAGAGGATCTCCACCGACTAACATCAGACCACTAGAAGAGCAGAGAATTCACCCAGAGATTTACTGTGGAGGCCAAGAGGACTGCAGCTGCCCATTAAAGTAATCTAGCAGAGAGCCTGCGCTCTGTCTCCACAGACTGCCTCTGTCTGACTGGTGCTGTTTCTTCCCCTGGGAACCTTCCCTCCGTTGCTTTCTGGGATCAACACGCAGACTTCCCCCACCAGCACAATTACTGGTGGAGTATTCAACAGTTGGGACAGTGCAGCAGTTTGACTAAGTGGTCTGATCAGGACTGTCTCTTGCAGCTATAACATCTATGAATCTAAGTCATCCAGACATGTAGGCACAGTTGTTTATTTCAGGAGGTTAGCAACGACTGCTTGTAGGCAATGCGCCATTTCAAAAAGGTCAAAAGTATATCAAATCCAGAACAGTCTTCACTGGAGTGTTCATGTACTTCTCTGTAATGACTTTTGCTCTGCCAAAACTCAATTTTCTACTCCTCCTAGCAGCTGCAGCTCTATAGCTGTGCAGAAGAGACTGCAGTCATTGTTCAGAGGTTATACGCAACTGAATGCTAACAGTTGTGCTGACCTGAACCCTGAGTTTTGCCCATTCCAGTTAGGAATTCTGGTTCAGTAAAACTTAAGCCCAACTTGATTTCAGTAGGACTAATTACATGATGGAGAGTTAGCTAGACGAATAAAGCACCTACTAAACTTAGTCAAAGTGATGCACTTTCCGTGACACTCTCGCATGCATAAAGCAGAGTAAATTCATTTCAGTCTTAACCAGACTCAAGGTGTGACTGGATATTGTTAGACAAGAAAATGTAATGTTACTTTCTATTTGTGCCTTATCTGTAAACAGACTTTTACTTCCTAACTGCTATAAGAGTACTTTTCACTTCAGTGGCTCGTGTGGTCATACATGTGTGGCTATAACCTAAAAAAGTTAAGCATGTTATTATGTAGGTATGTGGTACACTTACCTGTGTTTGCAACCCAGCATTAAGCAAAATCTGATCAAGGATTTTCTCCCTCTCCTGCAGGGCTTCCAGCTTTTCTTTAATGAAATACCTTGGGATAGGCACTTCTATGTCTTCCTAGAGGAAGAAATAGTCATGAGATGCTTTTTAAAACTGCATTAAAATCACATTACTTATTAATTAAGCACCTTTACAAAGCAATTAAATTGGACTGAGATTGTTGAATATTTTGGAGTGTTGGGGAATTTGACCTCTGTAACAGCTGCTGAGCTGTTACTTTGCAATTACTTAAGGCCTAATTCAACAAAAACAAATAAATCAACCCAGTTTCTGAACCATGGCAGCTCAGAAATCTTTCTTTTTATAATGGCTCAATTATATTATCAAACTGTTAAAATATTTGGCAGAGTTGCCAGAAATTTAAACATTATTTCCACTGAATTGAATACCTCTGGTTGTATGATCATCCCACTTTTTTTTTTTTTTTAATCAACATGAAAAATAAGTTTGTTCTCTTGCATTTTTTTAACCGTTACAAGGAACCAAAGCACAATTCTGTTCATCTGAAGTTACTTCTACTTGTAGACAAACTGTCACTGTCTGTGACTGTTATATCTCAGTCACTTCTCAAAATCAGGCATGATTAGAAGTGGCTGTCTTCACTCATTTTTATCATTAAAAAGATGTAACTGATTCACACTTCTACAGATTCTTCTTCTGTAGAATTTCACTCTTGTTGAGAAATGAAAAAAAGACACAGGCAGATGAAAAACTGCCCCAAAAATTAAGATGCTGTGGAGTGGCATAACCTGTTCTTTGTATCATGTTGAAGACTGGAGACAATCGTTCAGGAATAACTGCTGGCAAGTGTATTTCTTCAGGGGGGAAGGAGTGTGTCTTCTAGATGTTTCAGGAACATCTAGAATATTTCATCAAGGAAATGATTCACCTGGAGGGACAGGGGAGACAGGCAGTACACTTACCCTGTTGTGCTACTCATGAGGAGTTGCACAGCCAAGCTACACAATAATTTGTCCACAGGTATATGGGGGCACTTGGTCCTTTTGCCTGATGAGCCTAAGATAGGTACAAGACTCAATGCTGCACTATCAGTGCTCTCTGTTCTGTCTGATACAGAAACTTGGTGGGCTTTGACCTGCTCAGGGAGACCTTTGACTTGACCCTTTGCATCCTCAGTGCCACCTCCCATATGAACAGATACAGAGGAGAAAAGTGCTGTCTGCAAAGAACAAGCACCGCTCCTGCTTTGAGACAGGCACATGCTAAATGTGCTGCCTGTGAGCTCTAAGGCCTTCCAATTCCTAGAGCAAGAATTTGCAGGGAAGGCTGTGGCCAATGAAACAGCCCCTGTGAACTGCAAACTTAAGATTTCATTACTAGTTCCCTCAGTTGTACACTGTGCAGACCGGGACATCCTTGTTACGGCAGTATAAGAAGCAAGCTTCCAAGTAGGACTGTGTTTACCCCTATTGATTTTATCATTGCAGAGGTCTGGTCTGCTAAATTTTCTACATATCTGTCTTGTTAAGCTCCCTGTTTGCACCTTGTATAACATCCTTGACTGGTGGTGGAAATGATTATACGTTGTAATTTAAGAGTGCAAATCGCTCTAGGATGGATTACAAATCTGGCTGTCTTTAGGTATAAGAAATCAAGCGGTTTCTCTGGACACCCTCGCATAGGATGAGAGGGCTTTTACACCGTTAGGTAGCAGTGCAAGTATGTCAGTGTAGGGGCGATGAGTATCTCTGTCTGACCTGGGCTTTAATTACAAGCGATTCTGGACTGTGACCTTTACTGACTGTAAAGGTGAGATCAAAGCCATGATACTAAGGCTGGAAGGGGTGGGGAGTAGGGAGACTACTTCTCTTCATAATCTCTTTTTGGGGCCCAGCATTGAAAAGTTAGGTTTGTGATGTTTATCCTCAGGTCAAATTTGCAGCCTTTTAGCCACTCCCGGCTCTGCATGGGATTTGTGTATCCAAATACCTTTACAATTACCCCAGGAAATGGAGCGACTTGAGTGGTGGAAGGCAACCATACAAAAACATGAGGCACAGAACTAAGGAAAGATGAAGCTTAGCCTTATAGTGACATAGTAAAAAGTATGCAATATCATTGCATAAGATATGAGACTACTCTGTGTCCTCTGCCTACTATAATGCTACTATATAATGCCCATGATAATACAGTGAAAGGAAGGACTAGAGATCCTTTCTGGGCAGATTTTTTAAGAAACAGTAGTTATTTGTGAAGTACTGCCCATTAATTTTGTTTTGGAACGAAGAACATGTGATGATTTTATTAAAAAAACAAAACAAAACATAAATCTGTATTCCTATCTACTATGGAAAATCATGTTTTCTCTGGAAAAGCCTGAAATCTCTTCAGTGCTTTTTTTTTTTTTTTTTTGTAGGTAGGTATGTCATGCCTCCTTAAAATTAAGGTGTGGTGCAGGAATTTGAATTTATGCTTGTTTTTTAATAGATGTCAAGCATGACTTTTCAGACTTGCCAACTTTTTGCTGCAGGTGGATTTACTGAAAAGTCATGAAAGCAGTAGTGCTTAATGATTTCAAAATACGATTTGAGGGATCAGTTTCCGCAGAGATGTGTTTATGCTCTCCAGTATGCCTTCTTGTTTAAAATAGTTCTCTGCTATGACTAATGCCATAAGGTAAAGAGCTGGTGAAAATTCATGGCAATTGCTATCCTAAATTTGCAGAGTGAAATACACATGCAGTTGCAAACAGAAACATGTTTGCAAATCAAAATAATGCTATAATGATATTAGGCAATTTACCTCATGTTATAACTAGGATCCTGAAAAAAGCAGTTAACTTAAGCTCCAACTCTTTTTCTTTAGAAAAGCTGTTACCAGCGGTACCTGAACTTGACAATAGGTGGAGCTGTCTGCGAGAGAAGTATCTAGCTTTTTGCAGCTAATTTTTCATACTGCTTTTAGAGCACAGCTTCAAGACTTTGCCTTATTGTTGTATTCATCTGGTTTAGCGGGCTGTCTGTCAGGGGGCTGCTTTTACATTAGGCAATCCTGAACCCTGGATGTTGAATATGGTCCCAGCTCCTGCCTCCTTTACAATAAGAGACTTGTCTCAGATTTCTCACTTTAGTAGCTCATTGTACTATGAGATAGTAGACCATGCAACTTTCAGCATTACCTGCAATCTGTGGAAGAGGCCTGAGACCAGGCTGATGCACAGTGATGCAAAGGGCAGACTGAAGTGGACTGTACCTTGGTTATCAGTTGCCCATCTTCTGTCTAATCCCACATTAAAATCAGGCCGTGTCAACTGCTGACGTTAATAGTGAAGCTGTCTAAGCTAATATGACTTCACGTTAGGACATGTGCAAGTGAAAGATCCACAGAGCCCATGCTGCTAAGGAGAAGCAAAAATGCAACATATTGATCAAGCAGATCAGCTTTTAAAATCTTGCTCCAATATGTAATGCTCATCATAGATCAAATAAACTCTGATCTTCAGTAAAATGCCATGATTACTGATCACCCAGTACACTAGTGAACATGCAGAGGAAGCTAAATCACTTGGTGGAACTTCACAGAGTGCAAGTAAATGTGGCTGTCCTTAAAACACAGGATAGGCAAAGTTCCTATGCATTTGCTAATAATAGAGGTAGACCTACTGGGAGAAGCTTTAGATCTTCCAGGATATTATCCATGTAATGAAACTCCGAGTTCTCCAGATCCACCATCTCTTTTTTCATCTCCAGGATTCGCCCAATCACACCATCTAGCACTTGCCGAATCACTGTGCGTTTCTGCCAGTGAACAAGTTGGTCATGGGCTGTCTCCAAGTTACGGAAGATTTGCATGTATTTGATGTAGGAAGTGGCTAACATCTTGAATACTTTCACGCGGTCCTTCTCTGGCTGGAGGAACTCTTCTCTTTCTCTCTGGAGCTGGATGTCAAGATCTTTCTGGGCATCCTTCCACATCTTATTGTAAGTGCTAATTGAAAAGAGGAGACTATGTTAACCTGACATGAAAGTAAGAGTTAGCGCACAATGATGCCAGGGCTCTATGTGTATGGATTTCTCAAAAAAGCAAGCCTGGATATGTGAGCCATTATATTTATGATGAGATTTTAACTACAATGTATTTTAAAAACCATTAGCAAAAGTTTCTCTCTTTGGTTGTTTTAAAAATAGGAGTCCTAAAATGCTGTTTTATTAATGAAAGCTTAAAAGTTAAAAACTTTTTGACTTCATTAACATATGCTTGAAGCTGCAACCCTGATAGGGTCGTCAGTTTCATTCATTTATGCTGAGATGATGATTTAATAGAAAAGGTGTCTCCCCCTCAAAGCCCTTACGAGGCAGGAAGGTCTCTTTCAGGCCTTTCCATGTTTGGGATGAGAACCAATCGATGTTTCTAAAGTCTGTTGCTTTTCTGCCTTTCTGAAGTGGTTGCTCGGAACTAATGGTAGGGTAAGGGCTGTATTGGTGCTAATGCTACAGGATAGCTGTGGGCACTGTTTCAAATGTGAAGTGAGGAAAATAATTTAATTTATTTCTGTGGCAGGAATTGTTGCACTCCAAGCAATTGCTAAACGTCTGATCCAGCGGCTAGAGGATTATCTGATATGGAAGATGTCACCTAAGGCCAGCTACACTTCCAGAAGTGATAATACTGTTTACTTTGGTAGTTTTGGTAGGAATAGGTGGAGCTCTGATGTGAGCATGGACTGGCTGCCAGTGGCTTTTCATGATAAAAGCAGATCAGCACAGAATAGTGGGAAATCATCCTAAAGGAGCAAGAAAGGGACTCTGGGCAATGAGGCTTTTATTCAGAGAAGAGCTCAAACGGCAGGTTTGTCACTGAAAGGTGCTAACATCCGTGGTAGTGAAAGACCCTTTTAGGTCCTGTTCTACTTTGCAGCCTCTCTTTGCCAAGTGGAGACTCTCTCCTGGGAGTAACAGGCATCAAAAAATCTTATGTCCTTGGAAATGCTTCTCTACTAGTAGAGCTAAGAAATTTCTTCTGCACAGAGACTCAGTTATACTGGGAGAAAACCAGTTGATCCATGTTGCCAGATTTACAGGAGGAGGGGAAAACTGGGCTAAAGTAACAGGGAAAGCTGACTTATGTTTCTTAGACCTAGAAATAAAGGTCATTGGCCTCAATGGTGCAATCTAGACCCATCCATGTGCTTAACCTAGCTATTGCTTGCTGTTCCTAGAGTGTCTCAAAGAAGGATGAAGACAGTAAAAGGCCCTGCCTCTATTAGGTGAGGTTTCAGAGCAGACCTCTTGCTGGTCTGAGCAATGTTGAGGGAGTGCTTGTGTATTAACTCTGACAAGAAAGCTGGGCAGCTGTTAACATTGCTCGTGCTTGGTAATAAATGCCGAAATTGGAGCTCTGTCACCTGATTTTATCATTCCCAGTGTCAGAGTACAGAATGACCAGAGGCTTGTGCTGTGAGAGGGACCAGTGGGGTGGACAGGACAAACTCCAGCCCACAAGTAGCCTGAGCATGGGGTGTGTGCTGCACATCCAGGATGCTGATGGGGCTGCTGGGAGTCCCTGCAGCAGTCAGCAAAAACACCAACAATCTGAACCCTGCTATTGAATTTGAACCATTAACTTTTTTTTAAAGTGCATATTATACTTCTCAGCTGACCTGGGTTTCTGCAGGATGCAGCTGGTCTTGCTTTTCCTAATGCCTCTGCAGCCCACCCAGGTCTTTCCCCTTCCTTTTTTCCAACTTCATTTACATCCCATTGCACCACCCAAATCACTCAATTGCAGCATTAATCCAGGTGCAGGAGATAAACAAAATAAAACGGGCAGAGTGGAGAAGATTGGCACAAACAAGACCAGTTTTAGCTTTGACCTAACAGCTCTGCTGGTTCATCAATGGGATTTTTGTATGCTTCCTCTGAAGTCAGAACACGGAAGAGAGTAT